CCTTAAAATTTTTCTTCCCTAATAATGCCAAAATTATCTTTTTAAAAATTTCACATCCATTAAAATGTGCACCCCTCAGCGCACCCTTAAAAATCATTGATCTTCCAAAACCTAAAAAGTTCAAAATTGAACTTCATTATAGAGATCTCTTCTCACTCTTTCGATAGTATTTCTATCACTTCCTCTCTCACGATGAATCTCATAGAAAGAAAGACAAGTTTCGCAAGTGAAAAGAAGCTTCTCTATTGATCTGAAACCCATCTTCACAAGTTTCACGGTTGTAACGTCCCGATTTTCAAAGATCAATTAGGCAGAAATTAAATAACACAAGAGTGAGGTTTTAGAAAAATACTTTCATTCTCACTCAATTAATTATAAAAAAAAATCTTTTTCATTAGCCATTTTCTTTTCTTTTCACAAGTCCAAAAAAAAAATACCATGAATGAAACCATAAACTCACCCTCCGTGTATTGCATTGAATATAACATATTCTTTTACAAACAAAATTCTCCGAAGGCTTACAATGAATAAGAGGGCGTTGCCCTTTACAAAGCATAGAATTCAGCCAAAGAAACAATTAAAAAGCACTATGCCTCATCACCACTTTATAACCATGTCAAGAAAAAACCTGTTATTTGATCCTTAAGTCTGAAAACATTCCCTATACACATGTACAAGTAGGGGGTGGGCAAACCACTAGCTCCCAAACAATTTCACAACTTTTCTAAAATTAACTAACCAGCATGATGTTTACATCAAAAATCTTGAAATATGCCCAGAAATACACTTTTAAGATTGGGAGTTCAAAAGTCCACATTTCATATTTTCATTTTTACAAAAATGAACAAAATTTAATCATCAATACGTCACCATTAATAAAATTTCATGAATACAACACTTTTAGAGTTTTTAATCTCAAAACAACTTTATAATTCCATCTTAACAATTTACACAATATTCATCAACATCAATTTATTTTTCTCCAAAATAAATTCAAAAATCAAAGATGAAATAATATTTCAACATTATTTTTCTCAAGATAAATTATCTAATCATAATATAATATAGATATAAACCATACAACTATTAAAATTTAATTTCAAATTTTTAACAAAAATTATCAATACAAAATGATTTTCCCAAATCAAGTTCAAAATATCAATATTCTTAACATTTCGACATAATTTTCTTCCAAACATTATTCCAACAAAATTTGAGAATAAAATATATGTAATATCTCCTATAATGATATATTTTCTCAAATATCCCTAACATGGATTTAAAGTAATAAGAGCATCCACACCAGCCTCTTCAAATTTTTAGTCAAATTAGAGCTTAAAAACCTATTTTGTTATTTCAACTAGTCACCCATTGCATCAAACTCTCTATTCTAACTCAATCCTATTAAAATATTATTTTGTTATTTTATTTTTTATCCTTTCTTTTTTTATTAAATTAATGAGCAGCAGCCAAAAAAAAAATTTGCCGTTGACCGACCGGACGTCTGGCCGGACTTCCCGGCGAATGTCCAGTAACACACAATGGTTTGTACATTTAAGTTCTCACAACTCATTAGATGTTATTTTCTATTATTGAATTGGCTTCCGCCAGCCCCTTTTATTGTGTTATTGTCATTATTGTTAAGTAGGCCTTTGGTAATCACGGATTATTGGTCGGTTATGACGCTAAACCTATAGGGGTGGGTTTGGGTCATGACAATAAGCTTATTTGACATTATACACCAAGGATGGTGTCTATACAGTAAAGTTTGGGTATGAGGTGGCATTAATATTGAAGCGTAATCGCATGTTGGGAAGTTAGGGGAAAGGTGAATAAGTGTTGCTATTAGCACTCTATTTATTATTTTGAATCTCTCATTTTTTTAGACCTCTACTTATAAATTTCAAAATCCTTAAAATTTTTCTTCCCTAATAATGCCAAAATTATCTTTTTAAAAATTTCACATCCATTAAAATGTGCACCCCTCAGCGCACCCTTAAAAATCATTGATCTTCCAAAACCTAAAAAGTTCAAAATTGAACTTCATTATAGAGATCTCTTTTCACTCTTACGATAGTATTTCTATCACTCCCTCTCTCACGATGAATCTCATAGAAAGAAAGACAAGTTTCGCAAGTGAAAAGAAGCTTCTCTATTGATCTAAAACCCATCTTCACAAGTTTCACGGTTGTAACGTCCCGATTTTCAAAGATCAATTAGGCAGAAATTAAATAACACAAGAGTGAGGTTTTAGAAAAAATACTTTCATTCTCACTCAATTAATTATAAAAAAAAATCTTTTTCATTAGCCATTTTCTTTTCTTTTCACAAGTCCAAAAAAAAAAAAATACCATGAATGAAACCATAAACCCACCCTCCGTGTATTGCATTGAATATAACATATTCTTTTACAAACAAAATTCTCCGAAGGCTTACAATAAATAAGAGGGCGTTGCCCTTTACAAAGCATAGAATTCAGCCAAAGAAACAATTAAAAAGCACTATGCCTCATCACCACTTTATAACCATGTCAAGAAAAAACCTGTTATTTGATCCTTAAGTCTGAAAACATTCCCTGTACACATGTACAAGTAGGAGGTGAGCAAACCACTAGCTCCCAAACAATTTCACAACTTTTCTAAAATTAACTAACCAGCATGATGTTTACATCAAAAATCTTGAAATATGCCCAAGAATACACTTTTAAGATTGGGAGTTCAAAAGTCCACATTTCATATTTTCACTTTCACAAAAATGAACAAAATTTAATCATCAATATGTCACCACTTATAAAATATCATGAATACAACACTTTTAGAGTTTTTAATGTCAAAACAACTTTATAATTCCATCTTAACAATTTACACAATATTCATCAACATCAATTTATTTTTTTCTAAAACAAATTCAAAAATCAAAGATGAAATAATATTTCAACATTATTTTTCTCAAGATAAATTATCTAATCATAATATGATATAGATATAAACCATACAACTATTAAAATTTAATTTCGAATTTTTAACAAAAATTATCAATACAAGATGATTTTCCCAAATCAAGTTCAAAATATCAATATTCTTAACATTTCAACATAATTTTCTTCCAAACATTATTCCAACAAAATTTGAGAATAAAATATATGTAATACCTCCTATAATGATATATTTTCTCAAATATCCCTAACATGGATTTAAAGTAATAAGAGCATCCACACCAGCCTCTTCAAATTTTTAGTCAAATTAGAGCTTAAAAACCTATTTTGTTATTTCAACTAGTCACCCATTGCATCAAACTCTCTATTCTAACTCAATCCTATTAAAATATTATTTTGTTATTTTATTTTTTATCCTTTCTTTTTTTATTAAATTGATGAGCAATAGCCAAAAAAAAAAAAAAAATTTGTTGTTGACCGGCCGAACTTCCGAGCAGATGTCCGATAACACACAATCCCACTTGTTGTAGCGATGAATAGTTGTTCGCTTCATCAGAGGAGATACTGTAACACTGACAAAATGAATAGCGACACTGATGAATCACATATTTACAGCATTGGCTCTCTACAATAGCGTCAAAGCCATTGTAGAGAGGTTGATGTTGATGCCCTAATATAAAGAAAATCCCTACCTCAAATAATGAAGAGGAGTAAATCCGAAAGGCAAACTTCGTCTAATAATGAATTCGAGACTACTATTGGGACGAGTACGACAAGCTCTCCAACTTTTATTTACAACACTTTTGCAAACTCACTCTAAAAACTTTCACTCTAAACTTAAAGCTTGAGCAACTATGGAGGACAAAAGAGAGAGAGACGGAGTGAGAGGGTTTAACCCTCTATCAAACCAAACAAAGAAAATGAAAGGAAATGAAAAGAAAGATGGGACAAGGCAAAATGGAAGAGGTTGCAGCGCCCCCCACGTGGGTTACCTTTTCAAGGCATAATTTTCAAAATAATACAATATAATTTTTGTAATAATATCTTAAAATTTTGTAATATAAATTATAAAATGATATAATTTTTCTTATCAGAAAATATAACATTTTTGCACACTATAAAATATATACACGTTTTCATTTATTACAAAAATATATAATTTTTTACCGTATGATACACACCATAAATTCAACTTTCAAAATGGAGGAGGGGGCAGCGCCCCCCACGTGGGTTGCCTTCTCAAGGCATAATTAAGACAACATACATTTCATGTCATAAAATATTAAATTTCATATGTTTTTGAATTTAGTGATTTTTTTAAAAAATTAAAAAATATTTTTCCTTCTAAGTATATGTAAATTATTTGAATTTAAAAAGTAAAAAAAAAAAAAATTTATTTAAGAACTTATGCCACACTTCTTTTCATTCTAAATCCATACCTGTTTTTGTTCCAAACCGTCTCATTCTCTAGAGAAATTATATGTTAATTATAAATAATAATAAAAAATTCTAAAAGTTCTTAAATACTTATAAATTTCTAATAGATATGACAATTTTTTTATTTATTTTTCCCAATAAACTAGATATTCTACTTATAATCTAGATTTTTTTAATACAAAAATAATTTATAAACTTACATCTTTTTTCCTAAAATTTTCTACTCCTACTCCAAGTTTCATTTATTTATTAATATTGTTAAAATAATATTGTTAAAGTTACGCATTCTTTACATCCCAGATTGTTTTTATTAATTGTCATTTGTTTTTTTAACAGATTTAGCACTCCGTTAGCTTACACATTTATTTTCTTTGAGCAAATTGTATATACCTCCTTCGAGGTTTAGCTAAATTACAGATACCCTTGAGATTTCATAAATTACAGATATCCCTGAGATTTATATTTTCATAACAAATTGCTTCCTGAGCTTTATATTTTCATAACAATTTGTCCCTTAATTTGTTATGTAAATACTACCTTCAGGGACATCTGTAATTTTTCAAACTTCAGAGATATTTGTAATTTTGCTAAACCTTGAGGGATATATGTAATTTGCCCATTTTCTTTTTGTATATACGTCTCTCTCTCTCCTTTCTCTCCATCGACATCTCACACAAACACACGAGCAACCACCTCACACGAGCAACAACCAGCGACCACCACCAGCCACTGCCCCTCCGATGATGTTAGTTACACGAGCACCAATCGATTGATTCCGAGCTTGGCATTTGATTCTAATTCCGAGCCTTGGATTAATTCGGTTAGAGCCTTGGATTGCATCCCTTATTCGAATAATTCAGTTTCTCCTCTCTCATCTCTCTTTGATTTTGATTTGATTTCTAGAGTTTTGATTTTGATTTCTAGAGTTTTGATTTTGATTTCTAGAGTTTTGATTTTGATTTCTAGGGTTTTGATTTTGATTTGATTTCTATTCAATGAACCTAAAATTTTCTCCCTTGCAATTTCATTTCAACTTTATGATCTCAAGCAGCAGGGATTCATAGAGAGACAAGAGCTTATGAGGTATTTTGAATTGTGTTGTGTTTATAGCTCTTCAATGAAAATTTCTATTGATTTGGTTATGTAACATGTTATGGATTGCCAATCGTAGTTTTTTTTTGTAATTGTTTGTTTACTGCCAAAATATTCTTTAGTGGTTCTAGGGCTTCTCCTGTGCATTTCTAGGTGTTTGGCTGATGACCAAGGGTTGCATGTATTTGAATTATAAATTTTATTCATGAAAGATGCAACAATATATAGTGAAGTTTTTAGGAAGCAATAAACTCCTACATGTTGGGGTTTATAGCGTTCTGCTTGTCCTAGTAATAGTATTGAGTAAAGATTCAGGGAATCTCTAAAACCAGTTTGACATTCTGTGTGATATGGGAGGGCCCAATGAACACGGGCAGCAGGTGGCCACACTATGACCTCCCGTAAGAGTTTGAGACTCAAATTTGCTTCTTAAGGAATTTTTGACTTTTTGGTTACCTAGTCTGTGGTTTTTAAATTTAACTATATTGGTTTTTTGTTTTTCTCAATATTCAATATGTATTTTATCTTCTATTTATTTTTCCACTTTTACATTCTGTTGGGTTGAAAATGAAGTGCTGCAATCAGTTTTATAAATGGGATGATAGAAATAAAGATTTAGCGTCTGTAGTGATCAGTTCTATTCTTCTTTTGTTTCCTCTTATTGTGGGGATATTTTATAGGCTTGGTGCCATTCATCATGTCAGGTTAGAAAAGGTGTCAAACAATGCATATCAAGCTCCTCAACACCCTCCTTCATGTACGATATTGTCTTGCATGTGGAGATGAAAACATTCAAACATGCACAGAAACATAATTGAAATGGGGAAACAAATGTAAACGGAGATATATACACCCAAGACATCTCCTACCCTGAGCTCATATACCATATTATAGCATCACTAATTCCAAAATATTAAGTTGGTAGGAAAGGAAACCAACAATGGCCCCGTTTGGTAGAGCTGTCGAAAAGTAATTATAGATTATAACTTAACAGATTATGACTTATAGCTGAGAACATAAGCTATTAACCTGTTTGGTGCAGCTGTGGAATTATGGATTTAAGCAGCAGAGTAATGTTTGGTTAATAAGCTGTAAAATAGTTTTTTACTGTATAATTGTTCTTTCTACCCTTATATGATATAAAAATGATTATTTTGTCATTTTTTTCATTTTTAATTTTTTTAAAAAAATATTTCATTAATAAAAGTTAATATAAGTAGTATTAATTAGTATCAATTAATATAAAAATTGATACATTTGCTAAAAATGTAATGGAAGTATTATTGTCACAATTATTTTCTATTATAAATTAATTAGTATCAATTAATTGTTTAATTAGTATCAATTAATACTAAAATTATTAAGTAGTATCAATTAATGGCTTAATTAGTCTCAATTAATAGTAAATTATTAATTAGTATAAATTAATATTAATATTAGTATCAATTAATATTAATAATCAACAATTGTTATTTATTAGTATCAATTAATAATTAATTCATTACAATACCCAAATATTAATATTAATTAATATTAATATTTGGGTATTGACGAGGGCATTTAAGTAATTTTAGCCCTCCCACACCAGCTGCGCGCTTAAGTAAAAAATTTAAGCCCTCCCTGACCAGCTTTTGAGATAAGCTTAGAAATAGCTTGATTTAAGGTATATGTTGGTTAACTTAAGTTGCACCAAACACAATATTTTAGCTTAAATTAAGCTAAAAGCTGAAATAAGCTGCTTATAAGCTCTACCAAATAGGCCTAATAACAGGGCATATATTGACTGCTAGTGTCCTATGGATCTCTTGATGGTTGCAAAATAAATAGAGGTCATTTTTTTGTTGTTGTAGTTTTAGCACGTGGAATCTTCTTGTAGATAATTTTATTTTCTTCATGAGTAAAATGAACAATATTCAGACTGCTAGTTAATTTAATGTCTTTTGCTCTCTGTTTCAGTTAAGTTTATGAATAAAATTATCTGCAAATTATTGCCTCATTCACTGGCCCAGGTTATACTATAGGGAACTTTGAAAGTAGCTAGAGGCAGGTCTGTAATGATAACGTACAGGTAGAATCTAAGCTAGAATTGTTAAAGATCAAGAACATCATATGATATCAACATATAAACACATTTTGATAAATAAAAAAAAATGACAAAATGATCTAATATAGCAATATATTAGTGATCAACAATCTAATAGAAAATGTTATTATCAATAACAAATGATGAAATTTTAATGTTAAGTGTCAGCAATAAATAGGCTTCTTGTAGATAATTTTATTTTCTTCATGAGTAAAATGAACAATATTCAGACTGCTAGTTAATTTAATGTCTTTTGCTCTCTGTTTCAGTTAAGTTTATGAATAAAATTATCTGCAAATTATTGCCTCATTCACTGGCCCAGGTTATACTATAGGGAACTTTGAAAGTAGCTAGAGGCAGGTCTGTAATGATAACGTACGGGGAGAATCTAAGCTAGAATTGTTAAAGATCAAGAACATCATATGACATCAACATATAAACACATTTTGATAAATAAAAAAAATGACAAAATGATTTAATATAGCAATATATTAGTGATCAACAATCTAATAGAAAATGTTATTATCAATAACAAATGATGAAATTTTAATGTTAAGTGTCAGCAATAAATAGGAACAACGATCATTTAAACTATATTATTCTCGTGAAGGGAAGCTGAGATGAATGGCTTTGTAAATGCACTTGGGGTATTCCTGCAATCTGTATCATCAAAGAGAAAGAATGGAACAGCAAGAGTTGAGTATCCATGCTTCAGTTGTGCGTTCATGAAATGGAGAGAGATGGGATAGTTTTTACTAGAGCGTAGAGTACAAAATCAAACTCCTTGTTACTTGTATTGCTTGACCGAGTATTAATCATTCTTGATTGTGACCGATAGACTATTCATTTTATCACTAACAGGTTGGGATGATCAACAATACTATAGGACAGTAATGTGCGTGAATTTCATGTTTGCAGGAAATAATAGATATGAAGGTGTGGTTTTGTGCTTTTTTATGAGAATCTTTACAGGAAACATTTTTAATGTATACTATTAGTATTAGGTAGCTTAATTAATTACAAAATTTATATTATTGTCTTCTCGTTTTTATTTTATATTATTTAACTAGCACAGAGTTGCTGGTCTACTTCTTGGACTGTTGAATAGCCTTAGGCCTGAGAAACTACCCATTTTACTGTCCTTTCATTGTTTTCATGTTTGCCTCGCTTGTATCTAGTTGTTGGTAATACTCTGTGAAAAACCCGGTTGAGGGAAAGGGCCAACTGAAAAAAATTCTCTCTAGAAATGTGCTCCGCAGTTATCGGAGGGAAATGTTTCCAGTAAGGAAAGAAGTTGGGCCACGTCGGCAGATTTTGTTTCTTGGTGGCCGGTCGTTCGAATTTGAGGAGTCCGATGGAGTGGATGGGCAGTGTGGGTTATCGATTGTTGAGAGGGGGGAGGGGTTACGACGGGCGGTGGTGCTGAATGCTTCGGAAGTTCGTTGGTTGGTGGTTAGGATGAGGTTGGCCTCTAAGGAATCCAGCAGCCTACAGTTTTGGGGCCGTCTCAGTGGGGGTAGTCGGACTACAGCAGTCTGGGTACGAGGGGAGGACGGTGGGGGGACTTTTCAAATTGTTGTCACCACAGGACAGAGACGTGATCAAGTTTACATACCTGTGTCTGCGTTCGGTGATGGCTGGGAAGGGGTGGCGTTGGTTCTCGATGGCTTTGGGTTGTGCGTTGTAAAGGCCTCCCGACCCATTGGCTTCAAGAAGGTTTCATCAACTTCTGCTGCCGAATGTGAGTCTGTAGGGGTTGTACGCTTTGAGGTGGAGGTGGATTGGTTTCACATCTTGGATAGATCGCTAGTGGGTAAACTGGGGGGTTTGGGGGGCAAAGGCTTGAGTTTCGCGACCATCTTTGATTGGGTTGCCCGATGGTGGAAGCATTCGGGGAAGGTGGACGTTAGACCTTTGGGGGATAAAGCTTTTTTGTTTGTTTTGTCAAGTAGAGGTGAGGCGGAGGCGCTATTGAGACGGCGGTGGATAGTGGAAGAATGTGATTTACTACTGGAGTGGTGGTCACCACTAGCTCTTTGTACTCCGGCAAAAACTACGCGGCTGGAGAAGAGTGTGTGGATTCGGTTGATGGGTCTGCCTCTTCACCTCCGAGGGAGGAGGTATTTCGTTTCATCAGTGATCGTTGTGGGGGCTTCATCGAGGCAGATGAGTCGTCGGTGGATCTCGGTTCCCTTCGGCTTCGTGTGCGATGTTCAGAGTCCACGCCTTCGCGAGTGTCCTTCTGCTGGGGGATGTGGTAGTTTTCATTGCTAGTTTGGGTAGGAGACGATCCAGTGGTGGAACGGTGGACGCCGGTGACCGTGAAAGATGGGGATTCTGCGCCGAATATGGTAACGACGGATTTTGGGCAACTAGGGCAGAATTTTCAGCCGAGAATGGGGGTGAATGAATATTTGCAAAGATTTAGGAGAAAGGAACGACCCATGGGTTATCAGGGTGTTTTTCCCCAGCGGGTGGGGGCAGCGATGGGTCATTATCGACAAGCCCAGGCCCAACGCAGGTGGGCTGGGGTTAAAACTAAGGGGACTCCCTTGGGGGCCCAGGTGGTTAAGGGGGTGAGGCCGGGGGCTTTTCTATCCAGCCCAAAGGGAGATGGCTCCTCAAGCCTCAAAAGGGTTGGGGATTTTGACCTTTATGAGCAGCCCAATAGTTTTGTTAATCCGGATGTGGGTCAGACTGAGGGTGGGTTGGGTTGTGAGGCCTTCTGCGATCCATATCTGAGTGAGTCGGGTCGGGTGGCTTCATTTGGGCTAGGGGATCCTCGGCGAGGATCTGTGTCGCCGTCCGGATTGCAGTTGGTGGTTCGCCGTGCCATATATGTTGAGGCACAAGGATCGCGACTGCTAGAGGCGTCGGAGAGTGGCACTTCACAGTCGACGGCTTCGACGTTGGATGCGCGACAGTCACAGTTGGAGCTAGCGATGCTTCGCGATGTGTCATCTGCGGAGGACCATGGGTCGCGTCTACTAGTGGCGTCGGAAAGAGATACTTCTCCATCGGCGGCTTTAGAGTCGGTGGAGCGACAGTCCCAGCTGGAGCTAGAGATACCTCGTGGTGTGCTATCAGTGGGGGAACAAGGGTCGTGATTGCTAGTGGCGTCGGACTCAGAGTTGGTTGAGTGACAATCCCAGTTGGTGTTGGCGACGTCTCGCGATGCATCTTCGGCTGACCGAGGAGGGAGGGGGCCTGAATGTGTGGGCCAGTCACAGGTCTTGGAATTGCAGCCCTTAGCAGTGCAAGACAGTGATTTGGTCACTTGTTTCAAACAAAAACAGAGGTTTGAGGATATTGGGGGTTTATCGGGGGAGGAAATTCCTTCGGCAGAAGCTGTGTCCCAGTGGGTGTTGGATCGGATTAGTGAAGTTAGTCATTGTTTGGGCTTGTCCTTCGAAGGTCATGAAGATGAGGCTATGAGACTTTTTGCGGCAGTGGAGGCTTCATGGAGGCAAGGGACTCCCAGTCCAAGGGTGTTTCGCTCATTGGTGACCCCTTCTAAAGGAAATCGGGAGCTCAGGAATTTGGAATGTTCTGTGAATTATGATCATGGTGTGAAGAATGTAGGACGGGGTGAAAGGAGAGATAGAAGGGGCCCATTATTGTTGAAATGAAGTTAAAAATTATATCATGGAATGTGCGGGGGTTGAATGATAGGGATAAACGGGTGGCGGTGAAGGCGATTTTGCGGAGCACCAACCTGGATATTGTATGCTTACAAGAGACGAAGATGGAAGAGGTGGGAGTGGAGCTGATTCGCGAGGTGTGGGGGGGAGGTTTGTGGAGTGAACTTTTTTGCCCTCGTTGGGCACGGCAGGTGGGGTTCTTCTCTGTTGGGATAAGAGGGTAGTGGTGAGGGAGGAGGAGAAAGAGGAGATATGAGGTTTTTCTGTCTCTTGTTTGTTCCGTTGTGTGGACGATAATTTTCGATGGGGTTTTACTGGGGTATATGGGCCTGTGAGGATTCCGAGCGGGGTTTGTTTTTGGAGGAGATGGAGCATATAGCCTTTCGCTGGGATGTCTCCTGGTGTGTAGGGGGTGATTTTAATGTTGTCCGTTGGCCTTCGAAGAAGTCGGGGTTTGCCAGGAGTTCGGGGGCAATGCGGGCCTTTTGTTCTTTTATTGATGATTTACAGTTGGTTGATTTACCTATCCAGGGGGGCAGCTTCACATGGTCAAATGGTCGGAGTTTGTCTTGTATTGATCGGTTCTTGGTTACTGTGGGTTGGGAGGAGCACTTTTCTGAGGTGGTTCAACTTCGTTTACCTCGACCTGTGTCTGATCATTGGCCAATTTTATTGGATAGTGGGGGGATCCGGCGTGGTCCTATGCTAATATGTGGTTGCAACACGAGGGTTTTCTAGACCTGGTTCGTGGTTAGTGGAATAGCTTCGAGGTTCGTGGTTCTCCTAGTTGTGTGTTGGCTAAAAAATTGAAGATGTTGAAAGCGGCCTTAAAAAATTGGAATGAGGAGATGTTTGGTCGTCTAGAGGGCCAAAAAGCCGCCGTGGTGTCTTTACTTCAATCCTTCGATGAGCTGGAGGTGCAAGATGAGCCGTCTACTAAGGCTGGTATTCGTAAGGAGGCGGCTAGACAGGATTTTGTTCGTATATCCCGTATGGAGGTTTGTTTTCGTCAAAAGTCTAGATGTTTGTGGTTAAAGGATGGGGATCGTAATACGAAATTCTTTCACCGTATGGCTAATGCTCATCGAAGGGTTAATCAGATTAGTAGGTTATGGGTGGATGGTCGGGAGCTGCACACAGATGGAGATATTAGGGAGGGGGTTGTGGGCTTCTATCAGCATTTATTCCGGCCACAAGAGGGGGTTTGGCGGCCAGGCCTGGAAGGTGTTCAGTTTGATACGATTCTGGGAGAAGATCGGGAGAAGTTGGAGCGAGCTTTTACAGAGGAGGAGGTGTTTGGAGCTTTGCGGGCTATGAGTGGGGATAAAGCCCCAGGTCCGGATGGTTTCACTGTGGCTTTCTTCCAACATTGTTGGACCGTGGTTAAGGGTGATATCATGGCCACTTTGGCGGATTTCCTGGTGTCTGGGCATTTTGAGAAAAGTTTCAATGTAACCTTTTTGGCTTTGATTCCGAAGAAAGGCGTGGCTGATGATATTCGGGATTTTAGGCCTATCAGTTTGTTGGGGAGTGTGTATAAGTTATTGGCTAAAGTGTTGGCAAATCGTTTACGAGGCGTTTTATCGACTGTGGTGTCAGAGTCTCAGAATGCGTTTGTTGGAGGGAGGCAAATTTTAGATGCAGTTCTGGTTGCCAATGAGTGTGGATTCTCAGATTCGCCAGGGGCGCCCTAGTTTGATTTGCAAATTGGATATTGAGAAGGCGTATGATAATGTTAACTGGGAGTTCCTCTTGTATGTACTGGATTGTATGGGCTTCGGGGCGACTTGGTGTCAGTGGATCAAGTTCTGTATCTCGACTGTGCGGATGTCGGTGTTGATTAATGGGACTCCGGCGGGTTTCTTTCAGACTCATCGAGGCCTTCGGCAGGGGGATCCTTTGTCCCCCTTGTTATTTATTTTAGTGATGGAGGCGTTGAGTCGATTGTTGGATAAAGCTGTGCACGAAGGCTTCTTGGAAGGTTTTGTTGTGGGGTCACTGGCGGGGGCTCCTTTGGGGGTTTTGCATTTGTTATATGTGGATGACGCCTTGATCTTCTGTGGTGCGGAAGTTGCGCAGGTTGGTTATTTGCGATGTGTTTTGCTTTGTTTTGAGGTGGTTTCGGGCCTTCGTGTTAACTTGCTGAAGTCGGAGCTCATTCCAGTGGAGGCGGTTGCTAGGTTACCTATTATGGTTGCAGTTTTGGGGTGTATGGTCTCGGTTTTGCCAGTGTCCTATTTGGGTTTGCCTTTAGGGGCTTCGTTTAAGGCAAAGAGGGTGTGGGATGGAGTAGTGGAGCGGGTCCAGAGTCGTTTGGCAGGTTGGAAGTGCCAATATCTTTCGAAAGGCGGCCGTTTGACATTGCTTCAGAGTGTGTTGAGTAGTATTCCCACTTATTTCATGTCGGTCCATGTTATTCCAGTGTCAGTGGCGCATCGGTTAGAAAAGCTTCAGCGGGATTTCTTGTGGGGGACTGGTCGTGATGATTTTAAGTATCATTTGGTTGATTGGGGTCAGGTTTGTCAACCCAAGCGAGTTGGAGGGTTGGGGGTTCGACGGTTGGTGACTTTTAACCGAGCTTTGTTAGGGAAGTGGCTTTGGCGTTTTGCTTTGGAGCCTTGCAGATTGTGGCGGCAGGTGGTGGCGTCTAAATATGGGCTGGGCAGAGGGGGTTGGGTTTCTAGGTCTATGACCTGTACTTATGGGTGTGGGTTATGGAAAGGAATTTGGTTGGGAAGGGTAGAGTTTTGGAAATGGATAAGGTTTAAGGTGGGGGCGGGGAGTAGGAAAGACTTGTGATGTGGGGAGTTGGTGTTGGAGACCTGTTTCCCGTTGATTTTTAATATTGCATTAGATCAAGATGCATTGGTGGCTTCTTATTTGGATGGTGGGGGTGTGGTAGTTTGGGATATTCAGTTACGACGACAGGTTCATGATTGGGAAGTCGCTCAGTTGGTGGAGTTGTGGGGTTTTTTATATGGTCTGGGCCCAGTCGGGGTGGGCCCTGATGTGTTGGTCTGGACTAGGTTGGGGGCAAAGGGGCAGTTCACAGTAGCCTCATTCTATCAGGGGTTGATAGGAGATGGTGGTTGGGTTTTCCCTTGGAAAAGTGTCTGGGTTCCGGGGGTTCCGACTAAGGTTGCCTTTTTTTATGTGGACGGTAGCTTTAGGTCGGAATCTTACTTTGGATAATTTGATGCGGCAGGGGCACATCCTTGTGAATCGGTATTGTATGTGTTGTGCGGATGCGGAGTCAGTGAATCATTTGTTTCTTCATTGCTCGGTGGCTTCGCGTTTGTGGGGCTTCGTTTGTTCACTCTTTGGCCTTGCTTGGGTTCAGCCACAAGGGGTGTTTGCTCTTCTTTGGGCTTGGTGGGGCGTACGTCTTGGACGGCGGCGGCGCCGAGCTTGGTTATTGGCGCCGTTCTGCTTGATGTGGTTGCTTTGGTGGGAAAGGAATCGTCGTACCTTCTTAGCAGTTTCTCATAATGTTTCTTGGTTACAAAGTCGTCTTTTTATAGTTTTGTATATTTGGTTGGAAGGGAGGGTCGATCCGGATTTATTTGTGTTTTTAGATTTTATAGATGAGATGATTGGTTAGTTCTGGTTCTCTTGGTTCCCTTTCTGGGTGGTTTTTCATGTATCGCTTGCATCGTCTTGATGCTTTCTTAATAAAATTTGCTTATTTATCAAAAAAAAAAAAAAACTCTGTGAAAAACCCACTAGCCTTTTTGTACTTGGACAGTTCTTTCATAGTGTAGATCATGTGATTTAAAACATAATTCATTTCTGCTCTAAAAAAGTAAAACTAAATTTGCTGATCTCAGAATTTAATTCTTTTTCTTCATTTCATTTTATTTTATTTATTAATTATAAGAAACCTTGTATCTACTTTTTGAATTGGTACATTTTATTAATTGGTACATAATGGTGCTTATATTTCCTGCTTTCCTGTTACTGGCCGCATCTGCCAAAAATGGAATTGGTACTGTTTTGGCCCTGGGATCTCTTTAGGCATATGACCTTACTCACTAGATATATAATTCTGATTCATTACAAATTCAAGGATTTTTTTTAGTCATCTTGCTTGCATGTGGTGCAAATTATGCCATCAATCATACTTGAATAATCGTGGTTGCTACTTATATGATTTTTATACATGTGACAAGCTGGTCGAACTCCAAGAATGAAATTATGTTTTCTTTATTTGTGCACATAATTATGATTCAGCATAACACATTTATCTTTCATGTGACAGTTGCAACCATAGTTGGAATTGTAGTGGCTTTAAATATTACACTCAGGTTTAAATCATACTGGTTTAAATCTTGAAGTTGTCAACTGGCAAGATGAGTGGAGAGGTACTTTATTTCTCATTTAATATAAAATTGAATTTATAATCAATTGTTGTCCACATTATTTCTTATTTGTCCTTGTGTATTGCACAGAGTTCAAAAAAAGTTGAGAAAAGAATTAGGAAAGAGCGTGAAGCTATAATTGCTGCGACAATGGATGAAAGAAGAAATGCATCATTCAGAATTTTAGATGAGTGTTCTACTTCTACACATGTTGAATCACATGATATGAAAGGAGTTGTAGACTGCACTCAAGTACCAAAGAAGAAAACTAGGGGGGGCATCAAAGTTAAAGGTGCATGAAAAAGGAAAACAGAAGTGATGAAATTGACTTCAATGAAAGGAATCAGCCTGTGGGACCTAAGTCAGTTAAACTATGGACTTTAGAAGGGATCTTGGCACGAGAGATGGTGCCAATAACCACAGAGAGATGGCCTGATATTCCAGAAGAGGTTAAAGACAAGCTAAAAACTGGCATATGTACCCAAGACATTATGTACTTATGCATATGTATTTATTTTATGGGTAAATTATATTGACACTCCCTGAGGTTTATGTTTATTACAGTTCTCCCCTCACCTTTTGAAAATTACATCCCCCTCCCTGAGGCTTAAAGTTTCATTACAGATTGCCCCCTGAGCTTTAAAGTTTCATAACAGTTCTCCTCCCTTACCGTAATGATCATCATACATAAAATTAAATTAACAGGGGGGGTTAGTGTAATTTTTCAAATGTGAAGGGGTGAACTGTAATAAACATAAACCTCAAGGGGTGTTAGTGTAATTTACCCTTATTTTATTGTACTTTATTTTGAGGTTTCCTGTGGAGTTTACTTCAAATCTAAAAACTTGTTATTTTTTTCTTGATATGTAGAGGATCCTATTGCAAAACGGTCACCGGCATCACCACAAAGAAATGTTCTTGAAAATAAGGATGTTGCAATGGCAAATGATGCCCTCCAAACTGTAGTCAAGGTAATGTTGTAAAAATGTTTACTGGACCCTGCATTTGTTCTTGTTTTGTTCTTTTAGTACTGCACCAATGAGTTGGTCAAGTTTTCGATTGGCTGGTGGAAATCCTATTTAAAGGCTCATTCCATAAGGGTAAGGGTATTCTTGTATCCATTTCGTACCTCTTGAAGAGGAATGACCATTCCAATATTTTGTGGGATTGGGTATGCGGTCGGTTTGGCCGACCAAATGAGGAAACTGGGATAGGAGTTCCATTACAGTGCATTCCCATGTATGAAATGTAGGAACTTAATTTGTGATGATTTTGCTTACATGATTTTGACACGACTTCATTATATCTTTCCAGACTACTTTATCATTTTATAAGAAAATATGTAAATTGGTCTCTGTATCTTCTACAGGAAAGCGGAATGAAAGAATCTGCAGTCTCAGAGTTACAGAAAAGGTTAGAAATTTCCTTCTCGCTTTCTAGCCCCGAGACTCAAATCATAGACGAATTGGAAGACACAGAATTTCTTGAACTAGCATCACGGTTGGTTGGAGAAAATGTTGCTGGCAATGAGCAGATTTCACATAGTCAGGTCAGTTTTGTATATTGTATAATGTACCTGCCTCTTCTACAACTAATTGCGCCCTATATGGTGATATAAAGGCAGCTGAGGCAGTTCGTGACCATTGGCGAAAATCCACTCCACAATCAATTCAACTGAAGGAGCTCAGCCCCCTACTTCGTGACTACCAACGCTTGATTGCACGCCATCATATGTAAGGATGAACTTTTATGCATCATTACTTTTTTTTTTTTTTGGATCAGCAAGAATGAATTCATGGAGGTTTGGTGATCAGTTCCATACCGTACTAGTCAAATCAATTTACCTTCTGGGGATCAGCTCAGTCCCAAATAATGTGTTTTCGGACAAGTTCAAAGCCTGTAAAATTGTCCTTGAAGTGAGGCATAAATTAAATGGAGTTTGGTTTTGACTAGCTTGTGAACACAATTATAGGGAAAAGGAAAAAAATTCACAATAACAACTGCATACTACAGATAAATAAAGACCATCAGAATGGTATATCTTTCCACCTCCAAAGGCAGAGGTGCAAAGCATACTGTACTTAGCAGAAAGAAGTATGAAGCTCCCCACGAATGGGGTTATAGCAATCAATTGGGTTGATAATGTCAATCAGTTTCTTAATTAAAGCTTACTTGACCATTGTTTATGCTCTTCAAGCTATTGGTTGCTTAAAGAGTGAGTGTCTAAAAGTTTGCCTTGCTTTTATCGAAGTTTGTGTTTATTTTGTCAAATCTTTGCACTTTGCTTTCTCTCTCTCTCTCTCTATATATATATATATATATACACACACACATGTATAAATCTGTCTGTATTATGGACCACCTCTGGGCAATTGCTTTTAATATGAAGTTTATCTGTTAATTAGTATTAGCCTATAAAGGTTGATTAAATGTAAATGCCTACTTGCAGCTTCTTGTACATGTATAGGCATAAGTACAGTCCTTTGATACTATTTAGCATTGAATAAACATCAATTGCTGAGTAGAATCTGGTTCATTAGTTATATCTGCTTCTCGAACAGTTTTGCTGCTTTGGAAGTCCCATTACCTTTGTCTGTGAGGGAAAAAAGATGAAATATGGTTTAAAGTTTCACCCGTTTTCTTTGTCATACTAATCATTTTAATTTTTGGAATTAACAGCCATGTTAACTTGTATGAACTTCCATAAAATTGAGTACACCTTGAAAATTGAATCAATTTATGGAAGTTATTGAAAATCTGACCATTTTTGTTTCCTTAGTTGTTATTTTGGAAGGGCTTTTGCTGCCCATTCTCATTTGCTTCTTATTTGGATGACACCTGCTGCAGGGAGCACTCGAACATTGTTCTTGTCCACTACCGCGAAGTAAAGGTTACAAATTTATTCTATTATTTCTTTGTTTCTTCATTGAAGAAATTCACAATTGATAATTTGTATACCGTATCAGATGATTCTTGAGCCAATATATATTATACATAATGCTGGCTATTTTAGAATAACATCGCTTTCTAGCTTTCCCACCTCTTTTGTTTCAAGGTTTCTTGTGTGTATATAACTTCCACGTATTGGAATCTTGCTACAAAATATAGTCTAATGTGTTTTGTTGCCCAACTTTTCGCATCTGTGCTAGTTTCTTTTTGGACTAATGGTTATTACAATGTTCATGTTACTCATAAGATTCCTGACTTAGTGGCACTTCTATGATTTGGAAAGCTCCTCCATGGGTTTTAGTACGTTACATTGTTATGTTTCTTGTTGGTGCTTAATTGATATTGTTTTGGCCATGGCTATTCCAGAGTACTTAACGTTACACTTTTATGTTTCTTGTTTTTAAAAGGTTGATTCTTGGGATGTAGTTTTGGTTGTAAAACAAAAGCCAAAATTCATTTTTTGTGTATTTAAGAATTTGATGCATGTATCTGCTTTTCTTTTCTTCTGTACTCTTTTTGTTTCCTATTCAAATTTTCTAGAACAATGCATGTTTTCTTTGAAGGATGCAACTTTTTATTTTACTTGGTCTTGTGATCTATAAGTTTTTGAACAATGTAAAATACCAATGATATATTCTTTGATTTGTTTCTATTCTTTTATTTATGCAGGTTGTATTTTTTTTTCCCAAGAAATTAATAGGTGGAGTTGTATATTTAAAGTCATATTTTGGAAATTAGTGAATCATATAATTTGAATACTTTTCTTGGTTTATATGTTTGTGAGGTTGTTAGTAGCTTGATATGATAGAAGTTGAGGAAAAAAGCTAGTATGCAGGTTATTTGGTGTATGGATGTAAGTTTTTTTTTTCTTAATTCATAGTTGTTGCTTCTGCTTGGTCTGTTCACAAGTGCCGTACTTTATAAGCGACTGTCTTTGTTTGGAGGTGCATACTGCTTTGTTTGGAGGTGCATACGGCTAGGCAAGGTTATGTTCTTGTCTTTGTGTGTGTATATATATATATTAAGGCCAAGTTTGGCATCTTCAAAAAGATCCAAAAAGTCAAAAAGTCGCTATCTTATTTAAGTCACATCATCTTATTTAAGTCGCATCACTTCTCTATCACATTACTTTAAACCCAACCCATACCCAACTCATATTTCATAAAAAGTCAAAAAGTGTACTTGTTTAGGGCACCCCAAACAACCCCTAAAAATAACTTTCTACGACATTCAAAACTATGTCGTGAAAAGTGTAATGATTTATGGCATGCAAGAAAATGTCCTAAAAGATTATATACGGCAAACAAAGTATGTCATAAATATATTAAAAATAATTTTTTACGGCATGCAAAATTATGTCGTGAAAAGTGTAATGATTTATGGCATGTAAAAAAATGTCATAAAATATTATATACGGCATACAAAGTGTCATAAATATATTAAAAATAACCTTCTACGGCATGCAAAATTATGCTATGGAAAGTATGATGATTTATGGCATAACAAAAATGTCGTAAAAAATTATATACGACATACAAAGTATGTCATTAATGTTTAATTTATTACTTTTTACAACTTTGCTTGCATGCCGTAAATGATGCTTAACTTTTCACGACATGTCATATAACGGTATTTGTGTGCATGCCATGAAAGAATTTTTATGGCATGTATTGAAAGCTGTAAAAATTCAATTTTGTTATAGTGATTACATCAACATTTATTTTAGCAAAGCTAAAGCGATCGTGATTAGTGTAAATAGTGTAAAAGCACAAAGATATAATGTCACCCATACATTTTAGTATAGAAGTGATGAAAAAGTATAACAATATCATTTTTTTATTCATATGATTAACAATTTTTGATAAAAATGCAATTATGTTATGTGAATTTGAACCTTAAGAGAGTCTAATGTATAAAATGTTCATTCCTCATTTCGTTTACAATATATTTTTTAACATCTTTTTAAGTAAACTAAATATGATAATGAACATTTTGATAGGATAACTATTCTGGTTGACTTTAATTCTAATGAACTAAAACTACCACATGTTACTAGACCTTTTAGATCATGAACACAAATTAGTCCTCATATCTTCTTGTTTAAATCTTGCTTCCGTGCTTATGTTTGTGCAGGCTGTTGTGTGGTATAGTTTGGGGGTGAAAAATGCTTCAAAAGTTAGTAGACTCCACCTGTCTATCAATCTGTCTTTTCTACATATTGACAGAAAAGGAATGCAACCTAGAATGGCAGGAAAATATGCAAAAAGGTATTAAAGTAAAAGTTTTTAGAGTGGTTTTAAACCAACTTGCTGAGTGTTTGAAGGTATAGAAATGGATGATAGCAGGAGAGGTGACCCCTTGGATTTCTCAACACAAAGAATCTCATTAAAAGATATAGAAATTAACAAATTCCTTTCCATTAATTGAAGAATAGAAGTTTACCAATTTATGGATGATTTGTGATAATTTGCCAATTTATGAGTGAAAACTGCTTAAAGGTGAAAGTTTTTCTATCACTGCTCATTAGTTGAAATGTTCAAAACATCAATGTATCCATCATTTGACAAATTTAAGTCCAATTAAATAACCATTTTACAAAACTGAAACATGATGAAATTTATTGAAACTCAAATTTCAAAATTCTGGCTGTCTAATGACACTAGGGTAATGTCCTTTTTTTTTTAATCTTTTTTTTAAGAGAGCATCATTACAAAAACAAAAACAAAAAAAAAATCCCAACTAGGTGACTCATCCTACTAAGCCAATCATATGCTTAAGCCAAAGGCCAACAACCCCTAAAACCCCTCACCTTTTAAAGGGAAGTGTAGGTCTTTGACTTCTTTCATCTTTAAGATTAAATCAGCAATTGTATAGCAAGGGATAGTTGAATGTGCTTTTAGCCAAGTTGCAACTTGCTCTTTAATTATCTCCAAGACATTTTCCCAAGAAGCTTCACCATTATTAAAGACAAGGTTATTTCTGGTTTTCCAAATGGTCCAAAAAATTGTCATGGATGGGTTTAGCCTCCCATTAAGAGCTTTTTGACGTTCTTGAATTTGAATCCAAACCACAAATCAAGGCATTAACTGATGAGAAACAAACCCATTTCATTCCCCACCAAGACAAACAATCACCCCAAATTTCCAAGATCTCCTCAACAGTAACAAGAGATGATCAAATTGACTCTAACTCATTCAAACAAATATAAGAGAGCCCAGAACAGGATTCATCTAGAGCAATGTTTTTCCACATAAGCTCTATTGTAGGAATAATACAACCTCCAAATGAGGCAAATTGGTTATGTAAAGATTTTACTGAGAAGTTACTTCCAAATTAATTGATCCATTGATTGGCATTAAGCTGATAATTCTGTGGCAGAATTTGCAATAACCTATGATGGCCTTCCTCCTTCTCCTCCTCCCCCCATACAAACAAAGTCTTCCTATGTGGGATACACATAATGATGAAATAATTAATGAGACCATCTTTGTCACATCATACACCCATTTATCAAACAAAAAGAGAAATCTCATTCCATTTCCCCAATTTTAGTAGTACATTAATGGGGAAAAAAAAAAATTGCATTATTCTTTAAGCAATGAAATATCCCATCTCTTGTAAAAATCACTCTTTTCCGAAGGGGATTTGGCTCAAATGCAAACCTCCACCACCGCTTAATCAAGAGAGCTTCATTCTTAATTTTTAGATTAGAACTACCCAGAACCATAAACCTATGTAATCACTACAAAAAAATTATAGTTTTGGAGGCCAAAATTTAGGGACAAAATATTTTTTAGAGACCAAATACTTTTGTTACAAAAAGTGTCGTTATTATATTTTTAGTAACGAAAATTAGATATTAGTGATGAATTATTATCCTTTTGGAACCAAATTTTTTTGTCTCAAAAACAAAATCATTTTGAGACTAAATTACTGTCCATAAAATTCTATTTATTAGTGACATTTTTAAAATTTTGTCACTAAAAGCGTTGTTTTTGACTTTTTAGGACAATTTTTTAGCAACTATCCTTTAGACGATAGAACTTGGTCCCTAAATGTCTTTTGCAACAGAATTTTCACTTTTAGAGACCAAAACATTTAGTCTCTAAAACTCTTATATGTTGTAGTGAATGAATCTTTCATCATATGAGATTATGCTCACTGTAATTATAGTCACAGGGTTAATATTCAATGTTTATTGGCTTGATTTGTTTTGGCAGAAAGACTCACATTAAACTTATAGTAGGAAGGGCTAAGGAGGTTTTTGCAAGATTGTAAAGTATTCTCTAGTTTCCTTTTCCATTTCCGGCACAAAAGTAATAATTTATGCAATAACTTTGTTCATATGATTGAGTTTAGAAAGTGAAATCTTTTCACCCATCTCTTTTTGAAAAAAAAAATCTTCAGGTGGACATCACCTCAGTAGAACTTGTAAGTCTTAGATACTTCAATCTTTAGTTTGCTTCTTCACTCTCTCTCTCTCTCTCTCTCTCTCTCTCTGAAAAACTCAATTGAATAACCTAAAAAGGACATCTAGCAAGCATTGCTGCAAAATGTAAAAGATGCTGAGTGTAACTGAAGCCAAACAATACGAATCAACTTTCAACACTCAGATTATTTGATGAACAAAACTTCATTTTTTTGGGAAGTCAATATAAACCAAAGATCAAAAGTAAATACATAGTACAAGGAGCATACATGGGCAATACAAACGAGGATGGGAATTGTCTAAAGCAAGCAAAAGATGAGAACAATACCATTTAGCCAATCTAGGCCTTGTTTACATCTGACATGAACATATGTACAACAGATACAACATACAAACCATGAGAAGAAAGCAATAACTGCACAAAAAGTCTAGAAAGCCAAAGAAGCAACGACAGTAGCATCAGCATAAACCAGTCAATTTACCACTGAGTTTTTATATATGACACGTACAAAAGCAACAGCAGAAAATACAGTATGATAAAAGAAGCAACCCAATTTACCAAAAAAAAAAAAGAAAAAGCAACATGACCAAAAGCAAGGAAACAACAACAACAACACAGAATCATCAAGCCACTGCATTTTTTAGGTCTTCAACAAGATGCAACATTTCTTTAAATTAGATGCAACATTTACTTCACCGGATGCAGCAGAAAATGATTGAAAGAGTTGATACCATCCTTTGGTAGCTCTTTTGGTTTCCCAAGAATAGCGGTAGCTAGGGCAAAGCAGATAAATGAATATATTGAACCTGGAAATGAAAACAATAACAACAATGACAAATAAACATTTGACAAGCATGTACTGAAACTTACACCTTGAACAACTTTTACTAAAACCTGAAAACACCACAGGGAAAATAATAATAATAATAATAATAATTGCTGAAAATTGAAAAGTAATTGGGTTAGTGACTGCCACAAAACGGAGATCAAACAACATATGTAGACAAACCAAAAAGACACCAATTATTCACGGTGAAAATATATAAATTCTAGGTAAGTAATCGTGTTCCGACCCAAAAATTAAAAAAGAAAAAGAAAGATATGGTTGATTATTGTGATTGGGCATGTGATCCTGATTGTGTCTGGGGTGTTAAAGTGAGAAAACAAATTACCATTATGCAATATGATTTTTATTTTTTATCAAAAAATAAAAAGAGATTATGAATAATAATGTGAATCATTACAATCAATAAATAAACAAGGGGAAAGGATAATAAAGAACAAAAAGAAAAAATAGGCAGCATGCAAAACCACCTTAAATTCCGAACTAAAAATAATAGACCAAAAACCCCTTTATGAAGAAGAATGCAATGGTTGGTAGGCAAGAGACCAACACTGAGAACACTTGAAATGGAATTTCCTTGTTTTTCAATAATATATATATATATATATATATATTTAAGAAATTAATTTGGCCTCTTCATCTTCAACCTTCATCAAGTTAGAGCATTTCCAATCCTTCACCAATTTTTTCATCTACTTTGATTCCAAAATTGAATAAAACTGGCTCTTTTGACTTGATATGAAATACTCCAATCCTTACATCAAAATCTTTTAAAAAATTCCTCTCTTATCCCAATTTTTTCTTTTTTATCAAGTTTGATGGGGAAAAAAACAAAAAAATCATCTTAAATACTTTTTCTTTTTTTAATTTTTTCCAATTTCAACCCTTCCAATTCAATGTTTTCTTTGTGATTTTTTACATTTAGAAGGGAAAACTCTAATGATAAAAAAATAAAAATAAAAAAAATATATGAAAAATATTTTTCAGTTAATCATTTTGTTAATAAATAAATCATTAAGGCAATTAATAATTTTTAATGATATGAGAAATATTTTTTAATAAACAATTTTGATAATTCATTATTGCATTGGAAAATAAATTTTTTTCCCTAAGGTCTCGTTTGGGAACAGACTAATTTAGTAACTTTTTAGCTATTTGGCTAAAAAGGTAGGTAAAAAAAACTTGTATGTTTGGGATGACTTTTTGGCTAATTATGAAAAGATGTGCAAAAAGTAGAGACAAAAGAGAATTTTTGACTTTTTGATATGAGTTGTTGGCTTTTTGGCTAATTTAGTAACTTTTTGGCTAATTGGCTAAAAAAGTAAGTCCCCAAACGGGGCCTAAGTATTGTATTAAATTAAAATTTATAATAAATGATAATTATAATTTTTAGTATTATAGGATTGATTCATATATTAAACAAACTTTCTGGGTGTATTTATATTTGTTAAAAAATAAAAGATTTATGTTGTATAATTGACCAATAATATTTGTATAATTACACTCAAATTGTTTTACCAACCAAATTAAAGGGTAAAATAATAATTTAAAAATAAACTAAGGACAAAATAGGGAAAAAAAATGGCAAGCCAGCGTTGATAAAAATAATAAAATAATAATAGTTTGGGTGATTTTTGAGTACCTGATAGTTTTGATGGCTCATATCGCACAGTTTATTCCTCTACTTCAAAGATGTATCTGGTAGCATTCATAAAAATAACAATAGACGAGGAGATGCGAGACTGTTAGCATTGATAAAAATAATAAAATAATAATTTTGATATATTTAGTTGGGTGATTTTTGAGTACCTGCTAGTTTTGATTGCTCATGTTGGCCTTTTCCCTTCCCCTTCAAAGATGTATCTGCCTTCCATGAAGACTGCAGGAATGGGAGCTATGAGGGGCCAATATTGGCCTTTCCCCTTTTCACACCGCCGTTTCATTATTGGACATCCGGAGAAACCAAGTTGCAAAAGCGAGGGAGGCAGCCCTCCTTGCTCGGGAAAAGATGCGAGCCTAGGGCAATTACTGAAATAAAGATGGGTGAGGTTTTGAATGGTCTCCATGGAAGAAGATATCTTCTCCAGATTTGGGAAATTCCAAATGACGAGAGACATCAGACAGGTGGGCAGCAACATCCCATCTACTGGAAAGCTGGACACCGAATAATATTCTTCTTCTTCTTCTTCTTCTGATACGTTACTTGGGCCTCCAAGCCAGAGAGTTTTAAGAGAGGAGAATCTGTGCAAACCCCACTCTGATAGGGGCTTACCAATCTTCATATTCCCGATTCGAAGATAAGTGAGGTTGGTGAGGAAATTCCCTTTCTCTAGAATGTAGGAGGAGACGATTCCTCCTCCTGCAGGCCAATTATCTATCCACAGAAGATTAAGGGAAGCGAGGAGGCTGTTGTTGCATAAACTGACCGATTCTAGTTTTTTGCAATTGCTGATAAACAAATATGACAGTTTTGTTGGGGGGTGGTGGACCCATTCTTCCCGAAAGGACTCCAGATTATCACACCCGTTTATCCACAACCACTCCAGATTAGAGTCGTGTGCTGTCCACCCAGGTAAGGACCGCAGAGCCTTACATCCATGCCAAATATGAAGTTTCTTTAGGCTAGGCGGAAAGCCTGTCTCTGAAAAAGATACCAGACTTGGACACCCCCTGATATGCATCTCTCGAAGAGAAGTGAGGGTACGTAGCCCCCGCGACGATTTCTCCAGCTTTCCACAATCATATATCTCTAGATACTCAAGTTGATGTTGCCCTTCGTTTTCTACATCCACGTCTTCTTCAAACAATGAAACAAGTTGCGGACAATAATTAATGCCCAAATGTTGCAAGGCAAGGAGACTGCGTTGTAGTCCCGCCTCATTCTGCCACAGTGTTGTGAGTTCTTCACAACAAAAAATATTCAATTCTTTGAGTCCTTTAAGCCCCTGGGTAAGCCATTTTGGCAATAATGCAAGTTTCTGAATCTGCTCAATGCTCAAGGAAGTTACTGAACTCAGATGCTTAGACATTGCATTTGCCAACATCACTTCATCATCTATGCTTGGATTGCACAGGGACTCAGGGATTGAAACATTTCTAATATCTAAGCAAGTAAGGGAACTGGGTTCAAGCACGTTACATGTCTCAAGGAGCACTGGAAGGCTTGGAAGCCGAACATCACTCATGGACAGGGAGGTGAGTGACGGGAGAATAAGGCTAGAAGCTTTAACCAGCAGCTGTGGGCAATTTATAATCTCAAGAGTTTTGAGGCAAGGAAGATTACTCGGCAACATTCCCACAAGTTCGGGACATTTTTTGATGGACAACTTACTTACACAAGTGAAGGTTTGAACTTCCTTGTCGATTCCAAAAATGTACCAATCCTCCCATTCTGACATATTCTCAAAACATAGTGTCTCGAGTAATGGAAAAGGTTTGGCGCAATGCTGCCCATAGAACTCACAACCCACACGCTTTACGGCACTCATTCCTTCAATGTGAAGGTCTTTCAAAGAGGGTAGTTGTCCAAGTGGCGGTAAGGAAGTGCAATTTTTACAATTTTGTAACTTCATGCACACCATATTGGAGAACAAAGGATCTCCTATCCAAATTGGAAATCTCGTACCATGGTAGCCTCTGATGTATAGCTCTTTCAGCTTCTTGTGAGGTTTTAATATGTCAAGCACTTCTGTAACCATTTCATTTTGTAAACCATCCAAGCTCTCACTACTCCATACCATTGTTAGCACATCTATACCATATGATTCAGGTACTGTTCTGATTCTCGTGTAGGAAAAGTTAAGATATCGCAAATGTTTCAAATCCCCAATTGATTTTGGAATAAGTTCGCCAATGTGATATCTATTCAAACTCAACACCCTTAAGCGTTTCATCTTTGGCAACAAATAAAGGGGAACATTGCTCGTCAAATAATAAGATTCATCTTTATCTAAGGAGAAGGGTAAGAAGGTCCTTAGACTCCTTACATTCTCGGCTTTATAAAAAGTTTCAAACTTTTTGATTGCATCAAATTCGCTTTGCATGTAAGATGAATGTCGAGCACTCTTCAATTTTGTACATTGCTCCTGATCCTTCAATTTCTCCTCCAATCTAAAACAAGTATATCCTGCAACTGACTGAGCCAAATCATTGATGAGGTCATGCATCACAAATTTCGAGCTTTCACCACCACTTGATGGTTGGAAAAAAGACCTCGACTGCAATTCGTGAAAGTATTGAACTCCTAAATCTTCCATTCGCTTCTTTCCATTTTGTTGCTGAAGAAGGCCTTCTGCCATCCACAAGAAGACTAACTCATCCTCCTCAAATTCATAGTCCTTTGGTAGTATAGAGCAATATGCAAAGCACCGCTTCAAATGTGAAGGGAGATGATGGTAGCTTAATCTCAAAGCTGGGAGGATTTCACTGCCTTGTTCATTTAAATCCCATATTTTACTATTCAATACATTTTCCCACTCATCGTCTCTATTTTTGCATCGTAAAAGGCCACCGAGTGTCCTAGCAGCCAAAGGCAAACCTTTACATTTTCCTACAATTTTCCTACCAATACACACCAAATTTGGATTTGCATCCATGCTTTTATTCCCAAAGGCATGTTGTGCAAACACTGACCAACAATCATCATCTGATAGATGCTGTAGCAAATGGAAATGGTTTTGAACAGTTTCCATAATCAATGCAACATCTCTGTCACGAGTTGTTACAATTATCTTACTTCCTGAGACTCCATCGTTAAAGGGGGCCTTCAAAATGTTCCAATCATTGTATTTCTTGTCCCATACATCATCTAAAACGATTAAAATCTTCTTTCCAATCAAATTCTGCTTTAACTGAACTTGAACTTGATTCAATTCTTTAAATTCACAAGCCTTGGAAGTAATAGATTCAAGAATTACTTTTGATATTCTCATAGTATCAAACTCATCAGAAACACAGACCCATGCTTTCAAATCAAAATGCTTGTTCACTACTTCATCGTTGTATACCATCTGTGCAAGGGTGGTCTTGCCAAGCCCACCCATACCTACTATGGGAAGTACGCCGACTTTACTATCATTTGACTCGTCCCTTAGGAGAAAATCAATTATGTCCTTTTTCTCCTTATCCCTGCCATATATGCAACGTTCATGTATCAATGATGATGTGGCGGGTGGTCTGTGCCAAGCTTTAGCAAATTCTCCTACAATATTCTTTTGTAAACCAAGTCGACTTCCTCTTTCAAAAATACTTTGCAATTGGGTAGTGATTTCATCTATCTTTGAATTAGAACTCATAAAATCAGAAAGAAGAGTCGTTGGATTGAATCTTGTACAACATGTAGGTATTATGGCCAGTAGCTTGCTCTTGCTGGTGCTAGCTGCTTGAGACTCTACTATTAACTTATGCCGCAAAGCGTCAGTGGCAAATTCATCCAGTATGTCATCCAGATCATAAGCCAGGTCTGTGAGATCCTCAAGCCACATTTTCACACCGCTATTTTTTATTTGTTTCTCCTCTGCATCATCTAAGAATGCCTGAATTTCTTTTAGCTCTCCACTCCATTTCTTGAAGAGAGTATGAACTTGCTCCCGATGAGCAAACTTCAGTAGGACCGTAGAGGCCAACTTCTCAAACAACACCTGAATGAAAGCAGCGAGAAAGATTTCGCCTATAGGCATTGTTTCCCTGGTGAAACTAAGGAAGCAAGAAACAATATTATATCAGATTTAGAGAAAAACACAAACAAACCAAGAAAAACATGAGAGTGAAAGTTTGATTGGTTTTAGAATGAATTCACAGTTGAGGGTAACAAAATGGGGAGTCAGCAAGAAACAATATTATATCAGATTTAGAGAAAAACACAAACAAACCAAGAAAAGCACGAGAGTGAAAGTTTGATTGGTTTTAGAACGAATTCACAATTGAGGGTAACAAAATGGAGAGTCAGTATTGCAGCTACTATTATGTGTTTACATACATGCATATATTCTATCTTATCAAAACCAATGGCTCAAGTTTTTTCACCAACTATTCCTCATGCCCAAAAGAAAAATTATTGGCAAAAAAATGTCTTGTATGATGCACAAACAAAAGTATTATATAAAATACCATATAAGAAACCATTATGGGTGAGACCATACTAAGGCACTTTTATTAAGTACTTGATAAATAAATAAAAACCCATGAAGCGTATTTTGTGGTTTCACATTTGTCAAGAGGAGCACATAAGTAATATCACATTGCACTCCGAGACTACCTAATATCTATACATATATATTAATAAAGATGATGTGATAATGATATTCTTAAAAATACAAATCATTTTAATAAAATTTTATTTTTTAAAATGATAGGAAACAATGTCTCTTTGAAAAATACATAATGAAGTCAAAATTACTCTTTATTTTTCACTAGTTAAAGTATAATAAAGGAATGCTCTTTATTTTGCCTAAATACTTTTTTATCTATATGCTCTAACACTACTATTTATTTTACTTATTTATTCAAACTGTTTAAAGAGTCTCTCAAGACTCTCTAAATGTAGCCAGCTAGTAAACAATTTGTTAAAATGACTAGTATAGTAACTAACCCATCGCAGGAAGTAAAGTAAGATAAGACTAAATAATAGCAAATTTTAAAGAATCCATTGAAGATACTCGAACACAATGCAAAAGTGTAAATACAATGTTCCTTCCCAAACAAAAGTAATGTGCAGTTAATGAGGTCACTATATTGTAGTCCAACAAAAATAATTATTGCGTAATGTTAGAGACTCTAAAAGTTCTATCAAAATTTCTATCAAATGTCATGAGTGTGGAACCCACGTTACGTGGGTCCCATGTGGGTCCCACACTCATGTGAGACACATGATAGAAATTTTGGTAAAACTTTTGGGATCTCTAACATTTTTTATAATTATTAGAAGATAATGCATGGCCAATTAATTACAAGATATTCACTAGCTATAAGCAATGAAGTCTGTATTTGATAGATTAACGCTATGTTTGGTAACTTAGGAGAGAAAAGAAAAGAAATGATTACTTAAGTAATAAGAGAAAAGAAAAGAAAAGAAATGATTGTAATTTCTCTTCTTTTTGTTTGGATAAGTAAGAAATAAAAGAAAAGAAATGATTTTGATTTCTCTCCTTCTTGTTTGGTTAGACTTCATTAAGAGAAAAGAAAAGAAATTATTTTATGTTATATTACCAAAATAACCTTTTTATATTTTCAATCATTTTATTTCTTTTATTTTTATAGGGATAAAATTGGTATTTTGAAAATATAAACATTTGTGGATTTCTTTTCTCTCCCAATCTCTCCACTTTTGGGAAGATTGAAAATAAGGGTTATGAGAGAAATGAGTTTCTCTCCATTTCTCTCTATTTCTCCCCATTTCTCTCCACTTAAGATAACCAAACAAGAAAGAGAAATACATTTCTCTCTATTTCTTTTCTTTTCTCTCCAAATCACTCAATCCAAACACAGTGTAATAGTTCAACAAAATAGATAAATTGTCTTTTAAAATATCATTGAGTTCAAGTTACCCGAAAGGATCACTGGAGGTTCATCCGGTCGTTAATTTCAAGACTGTGAGATTTGTCGAGATACGCACAAGTTTGACTCGAACACGAGTTATTAAAAATAAAAAAAAAAACCAATGGAGAAACTAAAATGACAATACTCCACCTGCTATCTAACATTACTTTATTCTTATTTATTTAGTTTAATGTCATTGGGTGAAAATTTGAAATAACAATTTGTAATTATCAAAAAATAAAGGCAGTGTCGAGGCTTGCTAATCATCCTAATTTTATCAAGAGGTGATAAATGAATTTTTAGGTGATGTGCCTTGTATAATAAGTTAAGAATGTTGCTTATAAAAGCAGAAAGTCCAATAAGACCGCTATGCCAGACAAATTTCAAAAATAATGAAACTCTTTCTTTATCAAAAACTTGTTTGGTAAAATTCCGGAGATTATTATATGATTTCTTGAAGGGTAAATTACACTTCTAATTTTTATTTATTTATATTACTATTTGCACTCCTCAAAAATTTATGTTGCCACTCAAGAAATCTTGCGGGTGTGAACACAAAAGTTTGTTGAGTAAATGCGGGTGTGCCAAAACTTGTAAACTTAATTCAAGGTGTAGGAATTGTTGAACATTTCTGACTTCCAACACAGAAAAATGACTCTGTGTGGCTAAGAGGAACCCCTATTGGTTCGGATCTTGCTCCAATGAAGAGGACTTTTAACAATTTTATAGGTGCCAAAGATAATTAGAGCAAGATTGTGACTTGCATTGATTAGAAATCAAGTACAATTGGTAATCTAAGATAACTAAGCTGAAAAGCTAAAGGAACTAAGCTATGAAGTTATGAAGCTAAGCTAAGGTAATGAAGCTATGAAACTAAGATAAATGACCTATCAAGCTAGGATAAATGTTTTGAAAAGCATGTGTGGAAAGACTCTTGATCGACTGTTTGGTTGGGGACCCTTTGAATGTTACACTTATAGCCCTTTATATAGTATTGGGAAAGCCTCTATTTCTGCTAAACTACCAGAAACGTAGCATATATCTCCTTAACCTCTGCCCTAAAATGCAGAGCCACACCTCTCTCTTCAGATTTATTTTTCACTATAATAGGGAATGAACGAATTTATACATGATATGTTTGAATACATATGTTTGTGTGCAATGTACATATTGATTTAGGTCCTATACATTACATGTTTGGAATTGAGATCTCTTCATTTTAATGCATTAACTTGTAACATATTGTTAAAATTCAACATCATCCAACTATAACTGTTACTTAATTTGAATTTAACTATTCTTAAATTTAAGGGGAAAAAAAATATGTTGACATTACTCTTTCACAATCATTAATAATGAATAGACATCTCCATTTTGTTGATGTAAGAGAGAGAATTTGAATTTTATTATACTATTTGTACGTTGAGGTGAATATATCTTCTTGTGAATATTGTGTTTATATGTAATATAATGGTTTTTGACAGTGATACATTTAAATGAGATCTAGTTTGGGAGTTTGGAAGTTGTGGTTTTGTTTCATGATGAAGATATTGAATCAAGTTAAGTCCAATCAAGGATAGACCTAGGATAATATTCTAATACAAGAGAGGTAAATATATATATTAACAAAAAATTTAAAAAGAAGTATTGAATTATAATATTAATTTCTATCGACATGAAAGGTGGAAAATAATATGAAAAACATATATAAATAAATATATTTTCTTATATTCATGTTGAGTTACAAAACATATAGCAATTGAGAGACAATCTATTGACACTAGTTGTGTGAAACAATTTTTTTTTGGTTATATTTTGTCTGAATTGTTAAATTTTATATTTTGAACCCCATGGATATAGATGTGGGG